TTGTTAAATAAATATTAACCGTTAAAAAAAATTGTTGTTTACAAAATATACAAATGTTCATTTTTTCTTTTTGATTTGGATTTTTCATAGAATTTTCTTAAAAATTTAAATTTTCCTGGAGGTGTTAGTTTTAGAAGTAGTTTAATCTGGTATATACTTTACGTGTTACGCATCTGCATTGCATTTCATATAAATAAAATTATTTACGACTAATTACATATCAGAAATAACTCCAAAACCATCGGTGATTACATGAAATATTAAAAATTTAATTAATTTAAATTTAATTTGTTGTTGCAATTCACTACTGTGCAATCTATTAAATGCAATAGTTTCTATTAAGTGATATTGTTGTTAAAATTAAATTTAGTAGAAAAAAATATTTTATATTAATTATTATTGGTCAATAGTTAAATAATAAACTTTATAAAATTTTTTTTAAAGAGGTTTTCGAACAGAAGTGAAACAACAACAAAAATTTATTTTTTTTTAAATTATTTTAATTAATTAAATTTTTGGCTGACCATACAGCTGTTTCGAGTATTGCCAAATACCCTTCATCATTGGTCTTGGAAATAATTCTTATATTTAATTATTCGTAAATAATTATTTTTGAGACTGCAAGTACCAGGAATCGAACTCGGGTCCTGCCAAATATGAAGCTCAGAATCAGCGCACCTTAACCGCTGATTTTGTTTTTAAAAGATTTTATTTTAACCGATATTTCGACTATAATCTATAGTCATCATCAGGGTATTATAAAATTTTAATACAATATAACAATATTTTAGTACATATCATTATTATTAAAAATATTTGGTCATTAAAACAATTAATTATTTTATTATTGATTCAAAAAATTTCTACAACTCTTACCTACAAAAATGATAGAATCTTACTTAAAATCTAAGTTGACAATAGTCTCGCAGGTGTGGTGAAAAACGCATGCTGGCCTATATTCGCTAAACAACACATTGGCATCACTGTTACAATCTGTTTGACCATTAAACAACTACTAGTTTAAAATAGTGTTGTTGTTTTACGTACATTTCAGCTAGTATAGGCCAGCTACTTGCTGTTTTTTTGTTACACTTGTGAACCACCGATAACGCCTAATAATATATTTGTTGTGTGTTAACAATTAAAAAAAATATAAAAAATTATTATTTTCAATTTTATTTTTCATAAAAATTTAAAATTCTGAATATACCTCCTGATACAAGCGAAATAATTATTTTTTTCTATTTAATTCTACTAAATGATTTATACTGACCTTTAAGCTTATAAAAATTATATTTTAAATTAATCAAAAATAAAAAAATTATTCTAAATTTGTACAAACATTAGTACAATTCAATTCTCTCGAAATACTCATTTAAACTGCAATGTTTATTTCAGCTTAACTTTTGGAATTTGTTCATCACAATGTCCATAACCATCAAAACTGAAGCTTGTGCTATATTTAATCATTAAACTCAAATGTGATTTTAATAGTTAAAATTGTAGGCTCATTATAGAACAGCACAACTGCTCTCTGTCCAAAGCGCCCAAGCTAACACACACACACACACACCCACACTCAGAGTCATAGACACACACATATTTCTCCACATTTGCCCATATCTGTCATTATACTACAACGAACTATTGTGTGATATTACACTGGGGAGCAACTATTTACAACCACTAAAATGTGCGTTTAGTTAAGCGTCCATTTGTGTGGTTACTGATACTCTTTTGTTTTCTTCTTTTTTTCTGGGCATTGAAATAAATCGTTTATTAAATGAAAACATTGCAGCAAAACTGAAGCTGAAGCTGACATATCCACCAATACACACACACACAACACAAGGCATGTGCGCTATTTAAGCAATTTTTGCGAACCTTACAACACAATTGTGTAGTTTCCGTGCTTGCAGCAATTTTTTTTTATTTTTTTGCCCACGTTGGCTGTGGCGTAAGTGTCGCATGAGCATAAATAAGACAGAGCTTACGTTGGAAAACAGTTAAGATAAACGTTGCCAGATTAGCAATGGCATATGACAGTTGCGTGCATGCGTGTGTGTATGTGTGTGAGTGCGACTATGTTTTTTTTGTTACATGTGTGTGCGTGTCATAAGAATAGTTTTCTCTTCTTTCTTGTTTTTTTTTTGTTACGATTTTTATTTTTTCATAGACTGTAACCGTTTTTGTGGATGATTAATTGAAATTCTGTTGTTTTACTAGTCGAGAATCTTTTTGCTACCGATTTTGTTTCCGAACAATCAAAAAACTGACTGTTGTTGTTGTAGTTATTGCTGTTGCTGTTGGCTATGTAGTTGTCGCTGGTAGCCGCTGCGACAAATTTATGCAAAAATATAAATATTATTTATGTTGGCGTCACTTGTCACCATTTTATTATTTAAACGTATAAGGATATTCTGTTTATGTTTATGTATGTAAGAGCTTTTCCATTATTTTTTTTCGTTCTCTTTTTTGTGTTATATATTTGATTTATATGCTTTTGATGCTATTTGCCGAGATTTATGAGTTTTCCTTGCGGGTTTAATGAACTGTCAGTTAAAATTCTATCTAAAGGGATATTAAAATAATTTAAATTTAAATATACACAAATGGAATAGAAAAAATAATGTAAATTTCTATTTTTATACAACATATAATAATATAAGAACTAAATATACGAATGTGTGAATAAGTTTTGGAATTTTAGTGCCAAATAATAAAACAATTTAGTAGAAAAATTTTTTTGTATATATTTTATATTAAATTTATTATGAACGTCATTTTTTCACCAAAAAAACTAAATACTTAATATAATATAAACTATTACCTCAAAGACTGCCACATAAAGCAATTACAGATAGCACAAAATCTGGCTTTAAGAAGACTAATTAAGATTCCTTGGTATATTAGAACAACAGACATGCATAGAGATCTAAGAATTGACTCAGTGAAAAAATATATCAAGGACAGCCCTCAAATTATTCGCAAAACTTGATACGTTGCTCAACAAATCTTAAGTCCACCTCAGGGCGTACAGTAAGATAAGCTGATCTACGGTCCGTCATCAGTTAGTAGATAAATAAATGATAATGATTCTAGTATAGTTAAAGTTTAGTGTGAGGCAGGGATAAGCCCCCCGCCACAAAAGAGTAAAAGTGCGCAATAGCACTAACTCAAATCACAACAACAACAACTATTGCTTTCAATAGAGATGTTTTTATCCAACAGTAATTGTTTTGTTTGAGTTCTAAAAATCAACTGACTCTTTATTTACACATTACACAATATGTACTAGTATTGCCAAATACCCATCATTAGTAGTCTTTGAAATAATTCTTGTATTTAAATATTCTTAAATAATTTTTTGAGACTACAAGTACCAGGAATCGAACTCGTGTCCTGTCAAATTTGAAGCTCAGAGTTAGCGCATCTTAACCAACAGACTTGAAGCTATACTTTTTTATGTTTAGAATGAAATCATAATTTTATATAAAAAAATAATTTATAAATTTATCATTTTGTATTACAAACGATTTCATAAAAACTTTATATATAGAAGAGCTGCGACATCATTAGCTAGCCTAAGGGAGTAGCTTATGTCTGCAAAAGTCTTGAAAATCACTTCCTCTACCTCGCAATCTATTTTTGAGCTATCTATGAAAATTAAGCCGTCTTAGTTTTTCTTCAAATTTCTTCTTTTTTATTTATTTTAACATTGTTTGAGGAAACTCTGACACTACATTGCAGTCTAGTTTTGAGCTATCTGTGAAAATGTATACATCGTAGATTGATGGAAAGTTTCTTCTTTTCTTTTCATTTTTGGACGGAAATATTGTCTAGAAATATTGTCTGACACTACCCCGCAGTCTATTTTTTATGAAAATTGATCCATCGTAGTTTACTTAAAACTTTCTTCTTTTTCCTTCATTTTTTGACAGTCCACTTTTTAGCCATCTGTGAAAATTGATACATTTGATTGATTTGCTTGAAAGTTTCTTTTATTTTAAATTCATTTTTTGAAGAAAATATTGTCTGAGAACATTCTAATACTACTCTATGAAAAGCGATACATCGTAGTTTGCTTGATAGTTTCTTCTTTTGCATTCATTGTTTGACATAAATATTGTCTGAAATTCAGTTTAATAATGTCATTAAATAATTTTTATAAACAAAACTCACAGAATCAGTATCATTTTAAAAAAATTATTAACTGAATTTTCCTGTTCCTCAGAGCACTTTTCTTTAATATTAAAATTTACTTATTGCTTATTGTTATTTATGTTTAACGAAATCATCTTCAACTAAATTATCACAATTTACCGCAATCTTTACTCAATTTGCAGACACTGATAATACTTTTGCACAGCACGCAAATAAATCGGAAATCATTTCAAAAGGAAACCGTATAAAATATACATTTAACGAGCAGGCAACAGGAGTAACAACAAGACTAACAACAGTGATAACAGCAACAACGAATCTCGCCAGGAACACCGACAAAAGGAAAATTCAATTTTACCTCAACTGCCACAAGTTGAATTGCCACAGACGCCACAAATACGAAACGCCGCTCACACACAAACTGCATGCACTGCCAGCACTCAAATCCGAAATATCACCATTACAACTGCCACCACAGCCATTACCAGAAGCATTCCATTCCTGCTACAACAGCCACCACCAATACCACAATTACAATCGCAATCGTTATAACCGAGCGCGAGTATCTATACATTACCATCTGGCAACGCCGCCAACGCTGCCAACACTGCCAGTACTACCAACACTGACAGCGACTACATAAAGAACAAGCAACAGCAGCCGCAACTCATTGGTGCTCAATCTAATGCAATTTGTTGGCATTTTGCTTGCTGCATTTAAGTTTTCAATTGAATTATTGCAAACGAATAATGTTGGCAGCAATTTTTTTCTAAACTTATTTATGCAACCGCTGCACTGCGTTGTGCTTAAGGTTCCTCCACGCCAACCTGGATTTTTCACTGATACGGTTGAGGCAATGCAAGTCGACCTTGCCATGGATTATTTGTAAAAAATTGGGAAAATTTGGGAAAATTTGTTTGGGTTTCAGCAAAAAAGTAATGCAATCGCAGATAACGTAAGAAAAGCTGTAAAAAATTGTCAAGTATCAATATTTTCAAAAATTTGTCGGAAAATCGCATAACATTACTAAATGTAATCTATTACAGGTTGCTTACACCAAGGATTCTTGCTTTGTGGAAAGGTTTTGCATTCCAAATTTATGTGTGATTGAACAATTTGGATTGATTCTTGACTTCATGGTATATTGAGATTATATGTACATATTACTTTTATTAACTAAATTAAAATTATTTTGAAGCTATATTTATATAAAATAAATTTTTAAAATTATTCCAAATTAAAAAGTTAAATAAAATATAAAAATAATTGTCTTTTTCTTTACATTATAAAAAAATTATTTTTTGGTATGCTGGGTATTTATGACCCGGATTTTTATTTTTGGTCATCATGCAATGTCGTGTCAATTATTTGTAACATTTATTTTGTAACAAAAAAATAAATTAAATGCAATATTTAATGTTCGAGTTAATGCTATAGGCCTCCGCCTTCTGTGCAGTTCGATCCCTAACCCCCAGTTTCATATTGAAATATATGTATGTGCGTTTAACATTCTCCACTGCTGTGTGGCTGTTCGGCTCTTTTGAGAACTCGAAAAAATTTCTTGGGGGCTGTCAGTTTTACCGCACTGGAACACATACCTGAGGTTTCTGTTGAAATCCTAATAAAATTAGCGAATAACAAGCACATCCTAAGCGATGCACATTATCGCATAAAAATTAAGACACTGATCTGGTGTCGCAATGGACCTTAATAGTCTATGCGTGTCCTTTTTGGTCTGCCAGCACACTCTAAACTAACCTAACATTCTCTAGAAAATATATCAATTTTTTTTAAGAAACGTAAAACTAGAATAAAATTTGATGTGTCTTCTAGAGAATGTTAAGAGTACATTTATAATGTTTAATTTGAAAGAGTATGTATGAATATAACAGGGGCTAGCGAGCACAGTCACACAGATGGTCATCCTAATGGCGCCAGCTAGGTTTCTTCGACTGGATCCTGGTTAGTTCAAAGTATTCCCATCCCTCCCCCTTTCCTCATCCCAACACCCACATCCACATTTTCCATTCCTTATCTCATGTATTCGTCTTGTAATCCTTTCATGTTATCTGCTTTCAGGTCCCGGTGGATTACAACAACAACAACAACAACAACAGCACAGCCCGCTAGTGTTATAAATACAAATATATGTTATACATATGTATTAAATATAAATATATTATATATTATTAAACATTTTATTGAGAAAAATAAATATATTAACCAAACTAATTAAAAGTTAATAAAAATGTTCTCGTTACAAACTAAACTTAGTTAAATCTTGGTCAATTAATAGATCTCTAGGTTGCAGTGTTGAATCCACAACAAAATAATAATCATTTGACTTAGTTATACATAGTTTTATGGTGTCTTGATCCGACGCTTCTTTTTGCTTTCATTGGAGTGCTTATTTACATGTTGAGTTTAAGTCTATAGTCTAAAAGCATAATCTTAAGTACCCATGACAAAAGTTTTACTGAAAGTGTAAGCTGTGAAATAATTTGAACGCAATTAGCGAATACTCTATACTCTCCTTCCCTTTTTCCTAGTGAAATATAAGACTACAGAAGCGAACTATTGGCGTTTACGACTGGTGAATGTGGATTTAATCTCGATGTACTCTCTGTCAAATTTTGTGGCCCAATCGAACGTTTTTAAAGTAATCTAACATACTAAAGTTGTGATAATACGTATTTTTATATAAATTATATATAATTAAATTATTCTATACATATGTATGTTATATGTCGAACTAAATAATGCTTTGTCTGTCGTGTCATATAAACTAGCTGTTCATTTCAGTGTAATTTTACTCCGGCAAAAATCTCTAGAGTGTTATAAATCAATATCTAGTATTATACATTTCGCTCGAGATTTATCAATCGAAAATAAGAATTGCACTAAAAGTAAATTCGATTAAAAAAGTCACCAATCTAAAATGGCGTAAGTGGATGAAGATATTTTTTATTCCTATATTTCTGCAATTGATTCAAGCTAATAGTTCATTTAAGATTAAACCATTTTAAGCTTGTACCCCAGTACCTTGATTGAATGATCACCTCTATATGTTTTTATTACAGACATTGTCATTATATGTTGTCATTATATGTTGACATTATATGTTGTCATTATGTGTTGTCATTATATCTTGTCATTATATGTTGTCAGCAGTCGACGTAGATAGGATGTATTTAAAATATACACTTTAGTTATAATATTAATTTCAATAGATAGTCAAGCTAACTATAGTGTCAGTTAGCTGCACTGAAAAGCAATAGGTTATAATATGAAGTGACATTAGTAAGATACAATATTTTTGACTAATTAACGATTATGAATCATTAGTTAATTCAAGTTTATTTCAATTCGGTGATATTAAGAAAATTTTAGAATTTATTAAATAGCCATTAAAACTTTAAAACAAAATTCTTTAAATTCATTATACTAACGAATAGTAGAAAGTAAGACACAGCAACAATAGATCCACTATCTTTCTTCCATTTATTTTCGTCAAAATAATTCGCGTAAGCAGCAAATGTAAGTAAATTATCCGTTGTAGTGTTGAGCATTAATCGTATATAGTGCAATTCACTGAGAGGTAATATCAAAAATTATTTCCAAAAATAGAAATTGATAAAAATTTTATTAATAACAACATAACTTACTTATCGCTTCCGTGATTCCACACAAAGTTGTTGACAGGTACAGGTAATAAATCCTCTTTCAAACTATTTGGCATTATCAAGAGTTTTTCAGATGTAGGAAATTTTGCCTCAATCACAATGCGTTCGAAAGCATATTGTGGTTCAATGTTTTCAACATCAGCTGGAAAGATCTTACCACAGTCAGCTATATCTTCACCTATGCAAGAAAATAATGCACAATTTTTCATATTATTTAACTCCGCAGCAACTGGATTGCGTAGACCATCGAAAACACCCAAACGATATGTATAGTATGTAGAATTAGCAGTGGAGTTCAACTTCTTCCAGCTCAAATCAAAATTACAGCAAAATGTTTCGTTATAACATAGTATACGATTAGCGTAAATATCCTGACTAAGATCCAATATCACACTTTCATATGCGTCCAAATAATCGCGTTTGAGAAATATATCATTTTGGTTTAAGCGATTGTTATTAACCGGATTGTTCAGTAGTTTTGGCACAGTTTCACGTTTATGTAGTCTTCGTGAGAAATCCTTTTTGGTTATATTTGCGACATATAAAGTTCGTTCACCAAAACCAGTACTCATTTTCGCCACCAAAGCACCTTGTCGTCCGGCATAGATGCCAGTACCAGTTGTGCCCACCGGTGGATAGCTAGCGCCGGCTGCCAATAGGTTAACATTGTTGCCATAGGACCAAGCGGATTGTATTTGCACAGCTGTAAATAAGAAAGTTATGAAATATATTGTTTTGCTATACAATGTGAAAGTCACGTTTTTGCGATAACCCTACTCCTATCTCAATAAATAAAAGTTCTAATTATAAAAATGGGTCGATTATTGATAATAAAATTGATTATCAATTATATACGTCATTATTTTATTCATGTTTTCATTGATAAATTTTAGTCTACTTAGCATTAAGTAAACTATAGACGTTCATAGTGCAAAGTATTGAATGAAAAACAAACTCTAATTTGTTCAGAAAAAAGTATCTTTGATATCTTTGCCATTATCGGACTTTATACTTACCGGTCAAAAATGGTAGCTGTGAGAACCACATGGTAGAAAAAATGAAGTCCGTTACATCATATTTATCAACCAATTCCTGTGCTGGTGAGTAAAATAATATATCAAAGCATATGAAGTGTCCGAAACGTACACCAAAGTCTGTATCAAAAACTCCATATTCTGGTATAAAAGTCGTATTCTTTTTTTCTCCATAGAGATGTACTTTACGATAGCGCGATATGATCACTCCACTACGATCAAACACAACATTTGTATTAAATATATTTATACCATTACTGCTACAGGGGCGTGTATCTTCCGGTACAGTTGTACAGTTCTCTTTTTCCGTCAAATTAATTAGTAAATATTTTTGATATTTCTTAGCTGCACACGACAATTGCACCAACAAAGTGTGATAAATATTTGGTTGTAATAGATCACAAAGTGCATTTGCCTCTAATGAGGGGTCGGGAATAAAAATTGCTTCATCATCGCTATTAAGCGTACTTTCCGGAAAAATAATTATATCTGTGGAAACTGCAGCATCCGAAGAGACTATGCTGATATAACTGTTGAGATTCTCCTCTATTTTGGGTAATGTAGTATCCGCTTGGTATGATGCTGGCCTAAATTCCACAACGCCTGCAATATAGTGCTTATCTGACGGTAACGAAGCCTATAAGAAAAAAATTATTTTATTTTTAATAAAAATAAAAAATAATTATTTTTAATAAAAATAAAATAAAAACTTAACATTTTTGTGAATTAAATAATTGCTTAATTAATTTGATTTTTAAATTCAATTATAATGAAAGTAACAATGTTTTCTAATACTATATACTTAAATAATTAGGCCAGCATTACTATACGGTTGTATTACATACAGCAAAGACTCAAATACTGCTATAAAGCAATTACAGATAGCATAAAAACTGGCTATAAGAAGACTATTTAAAATTTCATGGTATATTAGAATAACAGACATACAAGGAGGTATAAGGATTGCCTCAGTGAAAAAATATATCAGAGGCAGAGCCTTAAAATTATTTACAAAAGTTGATACGTTGCCCAACCCTGCCCAATCCTGCCCGAACAAACCTCAAATCCACTATGGTCCATTATCAATTAAAGCATAAATAAACGATGTGAGCTTCAGCATAGTTTAAGCCTAGTGTGGGGGTAGGGATAAGCCCCTCAGCCACAAAAGAGTAAAAGTGCGCAATAGCACTAACTCAAGAAACCACAACAACAATAATAACATAATAATATATATATATATTGATATATAAATAAATAAAATATGAAATAAATATTCAATATTACATTTTTTGACTTAGATATATTTATATGTATATATATCATGAATAATATTTTCCACTTTCATTACTTGATTTAAAAATTAAATTTATATATTTGAAGATTTCCTCACTATTACCCTTTTTTCTTTTCAAAATATGTCTCTGGCATGGAACACAAATATTTGAACTTAAAATTATACCAGACAATTTAATCAAATGTTCTTTCTCTCTTTTTTTTTTCTCTCTCTCTCTTCCTCTTTCTCTGTGTCTGCTTAAGCGACTGTAGAATTTGACAACATGCAAAACTCTTTACATAGGCGATAAGAAGCAAGTATGAGAAACCGTTTTCTACATACGAGTATAGTTATATATAATTTAATAAAATGTTAATTAATAATAGTTAAGAACATTTATATAGCTGTGGTTTACGCTTTATTTCAAAGAGAATACAGCAAATGCATTTGTTGCTTGAGAAGAAAAACAAAACATCTAATTCGCGTTATATACACATATCAGCACGTTAGTCCACGGTTTAAATTTTGACAGAGTTATATGTTAACATACGAATCCAAGGCTCCAATTTTGACAGGGTTATTTATTATAATGTAACGCTTCGAATTTGACATAATTAAGTGTAAATATGTGAATGCAAGATTCCAATTTTGATAGGGTTATTCGTTATAATATGAATACACGAAGAGATATGCCAGAGATATGCGTCAATACATAAATATATGGTTCAAATATATGGCGTTTGTTTCCTGAAATTCACAGTCCATAGTATATATATAAAGTTTTAAGCTAATAGATATTTTCGAAACCCACTAAATAATTATATATGAACTTTTAACACAAGATTGCTGCGACAACGGAACCCAATCTATCCGCAACAGCTGTATGGTAAGTCAAAGAATTTATTTCATTAAAAAATTATATATCAAATTAAAAAAAAAAACTATTTATTACTCTATTTTCCATTCAAATTTGATTATAAATTTTAATTTTATATTTTATTATAATTATTTTTATATTTGTTTATATTTATATTTATTTTACAATTTTATGTTTATAATGTTATCATTGTTTGTTTTATTTCTCCTCATAGCAACTGGTATTTAATGGAGCTAGGAGGCCAAGATTCAACTATGATCGGTGTGCTATTTATGATGATGATGATTTACTGGAGTGTATCATAATTATCTTTCTCAGCACTACGCTGTTGTGTGCCATCTATTGTCGTCTAATCAGTTTTGACGCCTTCAATCCACTGCAATCTTGAAGAACCCATGCTTTTTTTGTTTACAACTCCATAGACTTCAAGTGTTTGTTAAGTACAATTTTCCTCCATTCTTATTAGATGTCTAGCCCATTTAAATCTCATATCTTTGCCATTATGTACTCGTAGTTTGAGTGTCTGGTAATTAAGAGAGTAGCTTATCTCTCTACTACGCTCCATTCGATATTTATAATCAATTTATTCTTATATTACATATGCATAACATTCATATTTATATGTGTGTATATATATATACACATAATATAATATTTTTTAAACATTTCTATAAAAAAATCATTAACTTTTTAAGTACCCGAGTTAAGTGAGCAATAAATTTCGATTGCTCTTATTATATTATTATTGTATGAGTAATAGAAGCAATAAAGAAGTCGGTGTTAATAACCTTTAATATTCATAACAAACAAATTTGGACTCATATATAGTTAATAAGATTATTTTTAAAAATATTTCTATATAATCTAGTGCGCACAAACCTGCAAAGTGAGTTTACTTTGTAAACTAGTTATAGTTAAAATCAAAAAAACATAATTTAGTAAAAACATTTTAAATTATTTTATTTCGGTATAGTTTTTTATCAACCGTCTTTCTGTAGTTAAATTCTTTACTGATCTGTTGTCAATACTAAACTGAATAGAAATTTCAACTCAGATACACTATCAATAACGGTGGCTATTAGTTTTGCCCATAATCTAATCTAATAAGTGATTTGCTACTACAAGTGCTACCTGTTCTTTTATGAAAGCATGAAACCAATTTCGACTCATCTACCAAATAATGTATTTTTATACATAATGATATTTGTTATTAGTTAACAATTTCATTAATTAAAAAAAAACATGTATTTGATTATTTTGTTAACAAGCGCTAAAATTAGAACTTAAAATATAGTGAAAGTATATAGTATTTATAAAGCATTCGCATCACGTGACTCGAATTCGCTATTAGCGATTAGTGTTGGTTCGAATTTTTCTTTCATTGAACTAGTACATTCATTTCGTTCATCGTTCGTTTTGCTTTAATCATTCATATGGTAGTTCATATCATTCATATAGTTCATATCATATCAATAATAGCCATTTTTTCAGTTTCACCACTAATGGTGTGTTCGATTGATAAATCTGGGGTAAAGATTTCACTCGAGATGTTCTTTTAATGCACTTTTAGCATGATTTTAGCATCGAGATGTTCATTTTCGATTAGTAAATCTGTACAACACTCCATATTAATGTATAACAGTCGAGATGTATAATGCATAACACTCGAGCTTAATTAATAATACTCTAGATATTTTGCCAGAGTAGCCAGATTACTCCAAAATTAACAGCTGCTCTATATAACTGGACAGATAAACTATGATTGAATTCAATATATGTATTTGTTAATAATATAATGTCTACTAAAACGACTAAAAATATGTTAGATTACTTCCAAAATGCTCGATTGGACAACAAAATTTGACAGATCAAGAATAAATTTGGATTGAATCAGGGTTGAATATATTATATAATTATTATTTTATATATTATTAAATTAGTATCGGTAGTCATCCTCATGACAGTAGTCAGAAAATAGTTGCTTTTGTGAATTTTGCATTTTCATACTAACATATGTTGTGTTATTATGGGTAATATTAAGACCCTCAGCGTTTCTTATAACATTTTTGAACAAAAAATTTTTCCTTAAATTAATTTTAATCAAGTATATAACATATTGGTCAATCTTATTTATGACCTCTTACTATTTTTGGGTAACTTAACAACTCCTTCAGTGTAGAATTTCTATGGTTTATCGACAGTAATAGACTTGACGAAGTGGTTTTCAGTGAATTTTCGGTCGGCCAATTTTTTATCATTAAGAGAGCTTTGCAAAGATCAAAACAAATAGCAGGCAAATAGTGCAAGGTCCGGGCTATACGGGGAATGCAACAAAATTTGAAGTTCCATTGTCACGATAGAATTTAACTTCTTTTCAGTTGTTGTTGCTATTCCTTTATTGTTTGTGAGCAATAGAGAACCGAATTATTGTGCCAGGTTTAAGCACCTCGCAATAGACAATTCTCTACCAATTCTCTCTTAGCAAACACTTAACATAACCTTTCTTTCTGACAAAGCACGCTTTGAAATCCTTTGTTGCAGATCTCCACATTTTAAACATGATCACTTATATTGGATATTCTGGTACTAAATTCTTTTTTTAACGCCGTAATGATTCACTTATATATAATTTGATTTCGAGAGTTTTAGCAGCGTTTCACAGATGATAAATCGGTCAATCGAATTTCATTATATTAAACGGCTTTTTTAATTCCAGACTGTCAAGTGGTTAATGTTTAGTGCTTTAAAGATTGAGTGTCTGTCTAGCAATACCAGTTGCCAACTTTCTTCTACCAGTTGGATCCATGATATCGAAATTTCTGGATTGGAATCAATCAAGCAAGCCATTTTTGATTTCGTCGTTCACTAATAGTACCGCACAACTTTTTCGGCATTATTTTGTACAAGCTTTACATTTTCTATAGTAATTAAGCTTCACAAAGCATATTTCTTCTATTTCTGATTCAATATAACTTTTTACATAAGGAATAAATACATAACTGCCTTCAATAAAGGTGTAGTCTGAAATGTTATCTTTCAAATATGTGTTCTTTGAGATAATTAGTACCACAAGTAAATGAGTGCTAATTTCATCTAATAATATAGTAATACAGATATTTTTTATATTATTTTTTAATTATATTAGATCCTATCCTTCACCACATGCGATATTTCTTCTATGAAGATTTTCGATTTGTAATTTTTGAAAAAATAGTAAACAAATTAAGTATTTTTTCCCGAATTACAGGGTGTAACTATATTAATATACGATAGTTTTGGTGTTTAAGAAGCATCTATCGAATCTAGGTATGACAAGAGACAAGAAGAACGAAGAAGAGGAAACACCAAAATTATAATCTGTATCACGATGATAGTTTCGCTAAACGCAGACTTCGGAACTTCAATTGACTATCCACTTATAATGGAAATAGGCAAAGTCTTTCAAGGGACATAATGACATTTTGAACTGCTACGCGCCTATGGAACTAAAGTGAGTTTGTCACAATAATCTTTAAAGATTGCAGTGATATGGTGATTTAGTTCCCAGCCCCTTTTTATTATATTGTAATCTAATCTAATTAATTCAAGCACAAACAATTTATAGTAAAATTCTATAGAATAGACTGAGATATTGAGATATTGATTTGGAATTCAATTAAGTCAAAGTCAATTTTTATTGAGCCTTTTTAAAAGGATTGTTAACTTTCTTTGAAGAAACATCAATTGGTTATTTGTTTTAATACGAAATAAACCAACATTCAATTAATAGATATGCAATCAATATTAAACAATTTGTACACTCACATGTGGCTAAGATACTCGTATTTTACATTGTGACCGAAAAGTTTCCGGAAATTTTAAATAAAACGCAAAATTCTTAATCTTCATCAATATTTATTTTATCTCCTTCAAAATATGCTCCATTAGAAGCGATACACAAATGCCAACGTTTCTTCCAATCATCAAAACATTTTTTATAGGCGCTTTCCGGTATGGCTTTGAGTTCCCTCTGCGAATTCTGTTTTACGTCTTCTATGGATTCAAAACGCGTTCCTCTGAGTGGTAATTTGAGTTTGGGAAACAGGAAAAAGTCACACGGTGCAAGATCAGGTGAATACGGTGGCTGTTCGATGGTATTTATTGAATGTTTGGCCTTAAAATCGTTGATAATGTTGCTCGGTGCGAGGGAGCATTATCGTCATGAAAAATCCATGAATTATCCTTCCACAATTGAGGCCGTTTACGGCGGATATTTTCACGCAAACGTCTTAAAACAGTCAAATAATAGGCTTTATTGACTGTTTGTCCTTCAGGGACGAATTCATGATGCACCACACCACGAATATCGAAGAAAACAATCAGCATTGCCTTGATTTTCGAGCGACTTTGGCGTGGTTTTTTCGGTTTCGGCTCGTCTTTTCCTCTCCATTCCGATGATTGTTGGCTTGTTTGCATGTCGTACTCGTAGACCCATGTCTCGTCACCCGTTATGATGCGTTCCATGAAAGTTGGATCGGAATTGGCACGATCAAGCATGTCTAACGAGACCTGTCCACGATGGTGTTTTTGGAACAAATTGAGGTGAATCGGAAAAAGCCGAGCGTTGACACGTCGCATACACAAATTGTCCACCAAAATCAAACGAGCCATCTCACGACCGATGCCTAGCTCTCGTGCTATCTCTCTAACACTCACATGAGGATTTTTGAACACGATTTCCTTTGCCTTTTCAATGTTTTCGTCGGTGGTAGAGGTCGAAGGTCGTCCAGAACGCGGCATGTCTTCGACGGTCGTACGACAGTCCTGAAAGGCTTTGTACCACTCATAAACTTGAGTTTTCGATAAAACTGATTCCCCATAAGCCTTTTGTAGCATTCGCAACGATTCTGCACACGAAAATTCGTTCGAAACACAAAATTTGATGCAAACTCTTTGATCAATATTTTTTTCCATTGTTTTTTTCGCAACGCACTACTGAGGTGAACTGGTTTCAACAGCTGCCGTAAACGAACTGTCTGACAGATCGCGCTCATTTTTGGCATAGTAATTAAGGACAGTGCTGCCAAACTACATAAACTTAAAAATATCGAAAAATATACAGCGCGCGAATTTTAAATGAGAATTTCCGAAAACTTTTCGGTCACAATGTATGTTATTTACAGTATGTTTTACTTAGGAAAACCACAAGTTGTTGTCCTTTTACCTTTATTTCTATTTCCATTCTATTTTTCATTTCAATGCCAACGCAGGCATCCTTCATCATCGTCATTTGCATGAGCTCATCTTTATCAATGTCAGCAAGTGGCATTATCAGGTGATTTCTGTGCCATTGCGTTGCGATGCCAAGTCACTCTAAGCGTAGATGCAACACAAACCTTGTCAACTTTGCTCCTGTGGAACATGGAATCGTTTACCAGCATTGAACGCCGTCACTGAAATAGGAGTGACTGAAAATCTGAATGAGGAAAAATATGAGTTCAAGTAAAAAATGTATCTGCAACGGTGTACGATTTTGAATTTCGCCATTTTGTGCCTGAAGTCCTCCTCACCGACTTTGTAGGTTGCAGAAAAAAGTGCAGCTGTCGAACGCATAGTCAAACGTGAATGATAAAAGGTCCTGAAAAAGCAGAAAGAAATGAATTTAAAAAAGTGAAATAAATAAATTCGAAATCAAAAGCTTTTCAAAAGAATGTTTTACGCTTGTTGAGCGATTTTTTATTTTATTCTTTTTCATTTTTATTTTTTGCTTACTTTTTATTAAAATTTATTTAATCTTTTATTTTTTCAATTTTATTTTTATTGGTACACAGTTTTTAAATCCACTTCAGATTTATTTAATTTTTTTTTATATGAAAGTATTTAATTTTATTTATAAGTTCTTGGTTCGACGAAAAATAAATTTTATTTTAAATTTTAAATGCCCCATAGTTTCGAGAAGAAATCTGAATCTAGTCAATAGTAAATTATTAATTAAAAAATATTTACATATATAATGAATAATCCGATTGACGTAGAATAATCTAAGAGTCCCTTATATAAGTCCCTTATTAGTCGCTTAGTTCACCACAAAAACAAATTGACAAAAATAATTCTAATAATTCGAATATTTCCTAAGATCATTGCTGTGGAGTACTTGGCAATACTCGAAACAGCGTCAATTAATTAAATTTTTGTTATTGTTAATTTATTACAGTTCGAACCCTTCTAGTTTCTTTTTGTAAATAAGACGCGTCACATTCGACAAAAAATCAACATTAAAAATAATTTTAATTCATAAGATTAATCTCCATCTAATTCCATTTTCTTAACATAATTTCCAATAATTTCCAAACATTTGTGAAATCGGCAAATCCACTTTCTAAAACAGTCCTCAAAGTCGAATTGTGTTTTATATTCTCATTACTGCAATCCATTTCTATTTCTCTTTCACATTTTTATATTTCACAACACGACATCAGGTCCTAGGAAATAGACAATTTTCTTTAATGTCTAAGAGCGCAAATTGGTTAATTTTTTTGGTTAAATTGGTTAATTGGTTAATTAGTTATTATGAGCTCCCACATTATTGCAATGTAGAAAGTACATTCTTTCTATATATATATTTCTATATATAAAACAGATTTTATATACTATTAAGCAGGTAGTGTCCGCCTAGTAGTCAGAAGAATGACAGCTATATTCTATCTAATTGAAGTTAATTGACATTATTGCTACAGTTGCTGATTTGAGGATTTGTGTTTCCGACCTTTAATAGGTGGATTAACATATTCTGGGATCCATATCCACGACTGCTTCATTGTCTCAGCATCGTACTTGTAGAGGCTTAAGCTTGCCTTACCTGCTACAATTTTATTGAATATTCTGGACACTCAATTTTAAAATGGAAGAAAATATTGAACCAATGTTTTGAACCTCACTTTGTTTTGAAGAAAAGTGAATACTCGTATTACTTTTTATAGAGGATATAAATTGGGTGAAAATATATACAGATATTTAATTGTGAACCTATGAAGATTAATTCATTTCCATAAGATTTGATAATAACATATATAGAATATGGACCATTCTCCTTTTTCTCTAACCTCAGATGCGAAGCTCAATTTATTGTTCTTAAAACTTGACTTGAACATTTTGGTCAGATAATATCCACCGCAAATACATATTTTAAGGATATTGGATGCGATGCAAAGTTGCCAGACCCACGCTTAATCCTCAACCGGGAGGGCCACATCTTCTCATTGCAAAAATCAGTGATTGGAGTGATGTTAAGTTATTGATATTATACCGCTAGTGCTATCAATTGATCGAGGCAAATCCTAAAGAACGCTCAAGGTTTACAATCTAGTAGGATAGACTGTAGCTCCAAAGAAGAAGAAGTAAAAGAATGAGGTGAAAACAAATGATCAGACAGGTTATGGAGTGAGTAATTTAGATTTTGAATTCATACAAGTGTTTCTTTGGTTAAAGTGCTTAAGGAACCTTGAACAAATTGCTTTATGTGCCAAATTTGTAACAAATAAAAACGATCATAAAAATATATACAAGTAACTGGTTAATGTGCAGATTACTTGAGTAAAGCTAAGTTGGTTAAGGTGACGAATTAGCAAAACTTCTATCAAAATAGGTACGGATCATAACATTTGGTCGTGAATCTAAGTTGGTTAAAGTGCGGAATTAGCAAAATCTGTATCAGACTAGGTACGGATCATAACATTTGATCGTGAAGCTAAGTTGGTTAAAGTGCAGAAATTAGCAAAATCTATATCAGACTAGGTACGGATCATAACATTTGATTGTGAAGCTAAGTTGGTTAAGGTGACGAATTAGGAAAATTTCTATCAGACTAGGTACGGATCATAACATTTGATCGTGAAGCTAAGTTGGTTAAGGTGACGAATTAGCAAAATCTATATCAGACTAGGTACGGATCATAAAATTTGATCGTGGAGCTAAGTTGGTTAAAGTGTCAAATTAGCAAAATCTGTATCAGACTAGGTACGGATCATAAAATTTGATCGTGGAGCTAAGTTGGTTAAGGTGACGAATTAGCAAAATCTGTATCAGACTAGGTACGGATCATAAAATTTGATCGTGGAGCTAAGTTGGTTAAAGTGTCAAATTAGCAAAATCTGTATCAGACTAGGTACGGATCATAAAATTTGATCGTGGAGCTAAGTTGGTTAAAGTGTCAAATTAGCAAAATCTGTATCAGACTAGGTACGGATCATAACATTTGATCGTGGAGCTAAGTTGGTTAAAGTGTCAAATTAGCAAAATCTGTATCAGACTAGGTACGGATCATAACATTTGATCGTGGAGCTAAGTTGGTTAAAGTGTCAAATTAGCAAAATCTGTATCAGACTAGGTACGGATCATAACATTTGATCGTGGAGCTAAGTTGGTTAAAGTGTCAAATTAGCAAAATCTGTATCAGACTAGGTACGGATCATAACATTTGATCGTGGAGCTAAGTTGGTTAAAGTGTCAAATTAGCAAAATCTGTATCAGACTAGGTACGGATCATAACATTTGATCGTGAAGCTAAGTTGATAAAGTGCGGAATTAGCAAAATCTGTATCAGACTAGGTACGGATCATAACATTTGATTGTGAAGCTAAGTTGGTTAAGGTGACGAATTAGGAAAATTTCTATCAGACTAGGTACGGATCATAACATTTGATTGTGAAGCTAAGTTGGTTAAGGTGACGAATTAGCAAAACTTCTATCAGACTAGGTACGGATCATAACATTTGATCGTGAAGCTAAGTTGATAAAGTGCGGAATTAGCAAAATCTGTATCAGACTAGGTACGGATCATAACATTTGATTGTGAAGCTAAGTTGGTTAAGGTGACGAATTAGGAAAATTTCTATCAGACTAGGTACGGATCATAACATTTGATTGTGAAGCTAAGTTGGTTAAGGTGACGAATTAGCAAAACTTCTATCAAAATAGGTACGGATCATAACATTTTATCGTGAAGCTAAGTTGGTTAAAGTGTCGAATTAGCAAAATCAGTATCAGACTAGGTACGGATCATAACATTTGATCGTGAAGCTAAGTTGATTAAAGTGTCAAATTAGCAAAATCTGTATCAGACTAGGTACGGATCATAACATTTGATCGTGAAGCTAAGTTGATAAAGTGCGGAATTAGCAAAATCTGTATCAGACTAGGTACGGATCATAACATTTGATTGTGAAGCTAAGTTGGTTAAGGTGACGAATTAGGAAAATTTCTATCAGACTAGGTACGGATCATAACATTTGATTGTGAAGCTAAGTTGGTTAAGGTGACGAATTAGCAAAACTTCTATCAAAATAGGTACGGATCATAACATTTTATCGTGAAGCTAAGTTGGTTAAAGTGTCGAATTAGCAAAATCAGTATCAGACTAGGTACGGATCATAACATTTGATCGTGAAGCTAAGTTGATTAAAGTGTCAAATTAGCAAAATCTGTATCAAACGTGGTACGGATCATAACATTTGATCGTGAAGCTAAGTTGGTTAAAGTGCCCAACTAGCAAAATCTGTATCAGACTAGGTACAGATCATAACAATTTCAAAATGTGGGTTTCTACAATATGTTGCATGAAAAGATTTTCAGACACTCTTCGTATATAATTAATTGGAAGTATTAATTGAAAGTACCGAAATTATTTGGAAGTATTTTTAAAAAAGAAACGGTAAGTCGTCTTTGGGTTTTAGGATCTAAGGTCAAAACAATAATTTTTTTGTAAATATTGCTCAAAATTATTTTATATTTTAGGATGTATTAGTACTTTTCTTTGAAAGATTGTTCTTATCAATGAAATGATAAGAATTGCGAGAATTTATATTCAAATAAATTTCAATGAAAAGCTAAGTTTTTGTTTTTCTTTACATAGTCGTGTTTAGTTGATTCATGAAGCAACAACTGTAGGAAAAACATCTCAAAAATGTTTCGAATAGAAATTTTGGTAATCTTTACCGTTTTTCTAATTCTACATGGAAAACACACTGAACAGGTTTGGTTTTATTAAATATATTGAACAAATTTATAAATTTTTTAATTGTTTCTTATCAGTTAATGATGGTTACTCTTGAATAATATATACCAACTGTTTATATACCTATAAAAATTTTTTTAATTTAAATTATATAGGCTTCATTACCGACTGATTTGTATTATACTGCAGGCGTTGTAGAATTTAAACAAGCTCAACTTCTATCAAAATTGGAAGAAAATCTTAAAAACTATATAAATATAATTGCTTCAGATACTGCGACATCAACAGATATTATGGTATTTCCAGAGGGTACACTCAACAGTAATAATGAACTAACATATGTGCCTGATCCCGCTAAGGAATTAGTTTCACCTTGTGAACTACCTAAACCAAGCATTTACCACAGTTTCCTAATAGAATTGTCATGTGCAGCAAAAAAGTATCAAAAGTATTTGGTGATTAATTTATCGGAAAAAGGAGACTGCCCCACAGTACTGGAGGATACGCGTCCTTGTGCAAGCGATGGCCTTAACAAATTTAACACAAATGTTGTATTCGATCGTAATGGAACCGTAATCTCACGTTATCGTAAAGTACATATGTGGAATGAGGGAAAAAATACTACCCTTCTTCCGGAGTATGGAATGTTCGACACGGATTTTGGTGTACGCTTCGGACATTTCATTTGTTTTGATATTTTGTTCTATACGCCAACGCAGGAATTGGTTGAGAAATATGGAATCACCGATTTTATATTTCCAACGATGTGGTTCTCGCAGCTGCCATTCTTGACAGGTGAGTACAAAGTGCAGACCTCAGTATAATATACAAAGTAATACTCGTATATAAGAAATTAGTCATACACTGCTCAGTTTCTTATCAATGGAATTTTATTTTTTAATAATTTTCATTAAGCACTTTTAGTAATATAAATAAACTATCGTCTGACTTAAGTAGATTATTTAACTTCCTAATAAATGTCTTATCGCCATGACGTGCAATCTATACTTCACTTTTATTTGTCATAATAATTTTGTTTATTATTTCAGCCGTACAAGTACATGCAGCCTGGTCTTTTGGTAATAATGTGAATCTCTTAGCAGCGGGTGCTAGTTTCCCACTAATTGGCTCAACTGGTAGTGGTATTTATGCCGGTCGGCAAGGTGTTTTGGTAGCTAAAATGAATACCGGCTTGGGTGAACGTGCTTTATACGTAGCAACTGTGCCTAAAAAACAAACAATTCCAAAACGTTTCAGGAGAGAAGTTGCTCCCAAAAATATCGCTAACACCTCTACAGCTCCACGCATCACTCAAAGTGACATATATTTGAAACCTGACAATATTGAAGAGTATGCAAGCGAGGTATTAGATCTGAATCAAGGGACGAGTTTCACACGTGAACTGTGTTACAACAACACATTTTGTTGTAATTTCGAATTAAAGTGGAAACATTTAACTCCAGTGGTAAATAGTACTTATTACACATATCGTTTGGGTGTTTTCGATGGCTTACGCAGGGAAGTGGCACCGGAATCAAATTTCCTTAAGAATTGTGCTATATTTAGTTGCGTTGGTGAAGGCATCGAAGATTGTGCCAAAATATTTTCATCAAAAGTTGGAGAAATTGAACCTCAAATCGCATTTGAACGGATTGTTATTGAAGCAACATTCCCCACTTCTAATCAATTACTAATAATGCCAAATAGTTTGAAGGAGGACTTAATGCCAGTACCTGTTGGGAATTTTGAATGGCATGAGAAAATAGACAAGTAAGCAGAATTTGCTGAATAATTTTTAATTGATTTTTAATAATTTTTTTGTTAATTAATAGTGAGACACAACTCGTGCGATTCGTGCTGAATACCACAACCGATAATCTACTCACGTTTTCGATTTATGCCAACTATTTTGATGAACAAAAATATGGTAAAAATAGTACCACCTCCCCGACATCTTCACTTATGCTACTTTTAAATAGTTGGTTTATTTTCAAAAAAATATTTTAATATATTATAACGAAAACTTTATGAATGTACGTGATGCTTTGATTTACATTAAAAGTTTCTCTATAAAAAGTGATAATACAGATTTCTGTTTCTAGTATTGTAAAATTAGTAAAATAGTAATTTTAGTAAAATTACTATATTAACTACTTCTCTAACTACATTAATTAAGTATACACCACAAATCTATAACGAAATTATTTTCAATCTAAATAGATTTTATTACCTTTTGATGGATCTTATTTCAAGCCAAGAGACTACCTCGGGGTCACCGATGTGGTATTTCATCAAAATGCCGTACATGAAGCTTATACGTTTCTTTTTTTACTGTCATTTCATCAATTGACTGGATGTTCCAACCTATTTAGTTTTATTTGTCATCGTTGCAGTTATGTCATTGCACCGGTTCTTATTTGGACCGGTTATGCGAGCTGTGATAAAGCTTTCCGCTCCTCTTCGAAAGTTGCAAACATTTTCGATGCACTCCATTTGACTATGCTTGAACATATGTCATATATAATGCTGTTAGGAGATGGTAGGTGACCTGAAACCTTTCACCGATGTCAAGACCATTTGGGCAGTAGGTATTATCTGTATTATATCTGAAACCACTCAGCGATGTTATGACAGTTTGAACAATAGGTATTATATCCCAGCTTAATTCGGTGAATATATGGAAGTTATTAATTCTATTCTGAAACTACCAGCTGTTTTCATGATTTGGAAGAGGGTTGTTATAATTATTTCACCCCAAAACGAAATAAAAACAGAACTTCTACGCCAAACTGAAAATGTGTAAGTTTAATTCTTTACTACCCACTCTGAGAAAAATTGGTTTATGAAATATACACAACAATCCAAAAAGACAAAAATCTGATTGAAGATCGCCCCAAAGGAATAATACGGGTTTATTAATATATTAATTGATATTTGAATATATTAATTGATTCAATTAATTTCAACTGAAAGACATTCTATGTGCACAATCTTGTGAGCATTGCTAAAGCCTTCGATAAAATATGAAATTTTAAAAATTTATCGATTTTATTTTTTTTGAAATTCACTTAAATTATTTAGATTTCTCAATCACAGAAAATTTAGGTGTGAATTAAGATAAGGCCCTATCCAATTCGAAACCTAACATTAGTTTTTTCATTTGAAGAGATGAAAATCCAGAACTCACGTAAAAACCCTAAACATAATTCTTGATGCTTCTACAGATTTTCCGGATTTTCAGGAATTCTTTCCCAGAATTCTAAAAATTCGGAAAAGTAGATTTCAGGTCAATATTTGCTTCAAATGGGGTCCAAAAATTGTTTACATTCATGAAAAATATTACTTTTGTGTACAAGTTGTAAACAATTGTATCATAAAAAAATACTTGGTATTTATCATAGACATTAACCCTCTCCGATAAAGGAGAGAGCACTGAAATTATTTACGAAAACTGAAAGACTTTCCAACACCACGTTATCGAATCTCTGAATGGTTACAGGCTAAAGCCTGTAACTCCTCCCGATACCTCGGGGAGGTATGCAGATCTGGGGTCAATTATTGCTTAGTCTAATGAAATGATAAACAATAATCCAGTCAAGGCGTAAAGAGGGGTCTCGAAGACATCTCGCAGTTAAGAAATAGTAAAAGTTCTCAAGTGTACTGGCTCAAATAGCTTCAACATAAAAATAAAATGTTTTGTATGAAAAGATAATAAACTGCGATTTTTGTAAATAATTTAAATAATAAAAACGGTTTATATTTAGTTAATATAAATATAATAATATATAAATATAAATATAATCATAATAAAAACCGTAAATTTAAAAATAAAATTTTTTTGTTAAGTTTGCAAAAATAATGATAATAATTATTAAAAATAAAAATAATAATTAAAAAATCCTGCTGCATAATGTATCTCTGTCTGTAGACACATGTATGTACATATGTATTTAAATATGTATTTATATATACACACATGTATTATACACATATAAGTATGTCATTATTTATAGTGTCTGACAATAAACGTTATAAAACCATTGTATTAATTTAACACATTTTAGAAATAAAAACTAAATAAATATAAAATTAAATAATTCAATAAATATATAATTTAATAAATAAATAATTTAATAAATAAATTAATAATTAGCATTTAAATTAAAATATATTGAAACAATAAAACCAAATTGTTAGTAGAAAATATTGAAAACAATAATTTACTTCATTCCATAAAAAATACAGAATATGTACATAAAAAAATATTTTTTAAAACAACAACACAGTAGAGTCACTTGACTGAGCTACGCTGTACTTAACAGTGAATTAAATGTTTTTTTTTTCATATTAATAAAGGGGCCTCATTGTGTGTGTTTTCGTCTTTTTTCACTTTAACTACATAAACACCATAAAGCAATGAGCTTTTATTTCCTCAAATAAAGGTGCAACCCTGTAAAATGCAATGCAGGTTCTTGGCTGAGCTTGTCGATGTGATATCTCTTAGAACAGTTATCGGTGTGGTGCCTTTATCAAAAATGCAATGAAAGATTATTAACAAGAATTAAAGAGTATTTAATATTCTCTTTGCTAAAATATTCAAAGCTCAGTTGTGATTGACGCGCTGCGAAGTGAAGTTTGGCTGCTGAGCTCAAACGATGACGTCGCAGCAGCTGCAGCAAAATTTTTGTTATTTTTTTGTTTGTGTGAATATTTTATAAAATGAAGTGAAAAGTGATGAATTAAAAATTTTTAATAAAAAACTTAAGATTATATTTCTAATAAATGATTACTATAGTGTACTTAAATTATATTTACATACATATGTTCATATAAATATATAACTGTAATTATGTGTAATGCCGCTAATTGTTGTGGAATCGTTTAAAGTGGATTAAAGCTGCGCACCATAAAGGGTATGTTCAATTAAACACTTAACCTTAATGATTAATAGTTAATTTAACAAATATTATTTGTTATTAATATGTAATATGTAAATAGCATATACGTATGTATCTAATTATGCGAATTGATGGACTCTATAAAATAAATACATACGTACATAAATGGGTATTTATGTATATACAGTGGCTCACAGCTTATTTGATGCAAGCAAAAATTTTTTGAAAAATGTTGTTTATTTCAAAATATTTAGAGTTATTGTTTGTAGTGTGTTTATTCATTTAAAAAAAAAAACCCCAAAAATCTTCTTCCATTCCTTAGTAATGCATCAAAAACCAAAAGCAAATGAAAAATTCATGTCACAGCTTAAAAGATGCAACATCAAAAAAACTAATATTTTTACAAACTTCCGGACTAATTCTAAGTACTTAGTACTTTGTTGGATATTCCTTATTAGTAATAACAGCATGAAGCCTTTTTGGCATGGAATCAACCAGTTTTTTGGTATAATCTGGACTAATTTTACTCCACTCTTGCTGTAAAGCGTTTCTTAAGTCAAATTTGTTGCGGATGTCATGTTTTCTGATAATAGTCTTCAAAACGGACCACAAATTTTCAATAACGTTCAAGTCTTGTGCAGGAGTTTGGAGAATGTGTGGACATTGCCATATCAACCACGTTTGTACTTGTTAATTTGTGTTTTTACAATTTAACTTTATTCTTATCGGAAGTCAAAAGTTAATCTATTTCTATATTTTTACAAAATGTTAAATACAGTTAATCAAATAAGAATAGCCTACTATTCAATTATGATTATACATTTCCAACATTCTCTTGGACCTAATTTTTGAAACCACTAAAGTAATGTTTAACATGACATTGAAATTTTGTTTATTCTAGATTAAAACGAACAGGTTGTCTTCTCCTTCTAACCGACCGTCTTAATTGAACTGGCAACTGATCAGTGTGTGTGGACCCATATCTGTCGTCGGACTCCGCTTTGTCGTCTTTCTCTCTTTGATTTTGTTTCAAGTCAGATCCAGTAGTGATTATTGTTTCATCGGTCCCCATTTTGTCGTCTTTCTCTGTTTGACTAAGTTCCGGGTCGAATCCAGTAGTAATTGTTGTTTCCTCAACCGGTGGTGTCCGAATACTGAAATCTAAATCAATATCAATATTATCTGCCCTAAGCTGATTTGAATGCGATGACGATAAATTTCGACGTATTTGATTTTGATGTCGTTTTATGTAACCATTTTCAGTTTGAATAAAATACATTTTATTTCCCAGCAATTTCTGTATCACGCCTCTGATCCATTTATGCGATCCCGAATAATTACGAGCTAACACTTTCTCTCCAACTCCGAATTTATTTCTATTTTGAGTTTTCATAGTCTCCATAACTTTCGGGAACAACGCCGATAAAATGGTTCTTGGTTGCCGCCCATGTAACAACTCTGCTGGCGATTTATCAGTTGCTAAGTTTGGAGTAGTTCCATACGTTGTAAGATATTTATACAACGCTTTGTCAATATGTTGTTCCTCTTTCATAATTTTTGTTACTGCTTCCTTAAAAGTTCTCACATGTCTTTCCGCTAACCCATTCGAAGCCGGATGAAAAGGAGCAGACGTGAGGTGCTGAATTGTGTTCATTTCACAAAACTTTTGAAATTCATTGGACGTGAATTGTGTTCCGTTGTCTGTCACGATAGTGCACGGAAGACCTTCGATAGAAAAAATTTTTTGTAGAGCTCCAACTGTTGTTACAGCTGTTATTGTTGATAGTTCCACAATATATGGAAATTTTGAATATGCATCCACAACTATGAGCCACATACGTTTAAAGAATGGACCCGCGAAATCCAAATGAACTCTTTCCCACGGCCTACTAGGTTCTGGCCATGCAGAAAATTCTCGCTTTGGTTGACTTGCACCTTGTTGACAAGATGAACAATCATCATGAATACGTTCTATGGCTTTATCAATAAGAGGAAACCACACATATCGTCTTGCCATCTGTTTCATACGACCTTTACCCCAATGACCCTCGTGTAACAAATTTAATACTTGAGATTGCAGTGCTTTCGGTAGCACCACTCTAGTATATTCAGCCTGAAGAAGTAACACTCCATTCTGAAATGATAAGCAAAATCTGCGATTAAAGTACGGTTTGATACTACCTTCAGATTTCGGCAATTGTTCAGGCCAGCCATCTTGTACATATCTGCTGACACGTTGAAGAGTGTTGTCATTAGCAGTCATATCCTTTACTAATGTTGCATTTACTGGAAGATAATCCACAGCATTTTGATAAACAGTATCGACATCATCTAACATCACAACTTCCTTTCTATCAAATTGTATGTCATCCCCACACGGCAATCTGGAAAGAGCATCAGCGTTAGCATTCTGAGATGAACTTTTGAACCGTATAATGTATTCATATGCTTGAAGTACAATAGCCCAACGCTGTAAACGATGCAACGCCATCACTGGCAACTTTCTATTCGGATTAAACAGTGTTGTCAACGCTTGATGATCAGTTATTAATTCAAAACGTCTTCCATAAAGATATTGATGAAACTTGGTCACTCCATAAATTATTGCTAATGCCTCTTTTTCGATTTGAGAATAGCGTTCTTGGCTGCTGTTTAATTTTTTTGAAGCATACGCGATTGGCTTCTCTGAACCATCAGCATAACGATGTGAAATTACTGCGCCGATTCCATACTTAGATGCATCTACTGCTAACACTATAGGCTTCTTATCATCATAATGAACGAGTTCCGTAGCTTTGATCATAGCATTCTTCAATGCTTGAAAAGCATCTTCATGATATGCTGTCCATTTAAACACAGCATTCTTTTTCCTTAGTTCATTTAAAGGAGCAGCTAATATGGAAAACTGTTTAATGAATTTGTTATAATAATTAACTTTTCCAATGAAAGCTTCAACTTCTTGAATATTACGAGGACGCGGCATTAATTTGATTGCCTCTACACGTTTTCCTGTGGGCATTAATCCATTCACATTGATTACGTGTCCAACATAATCTACCTGCTCTTGCGCAAAACTACATTTTTCGCTTTTACATGTCAAGCCGTATTCTTCCAAACGTTGAAAAATTTTAAAAACATTATTCAAATGTTCTTTATTATTTCGACCTGTTACGATTATATCATCTAAATAGACTGCACAGTTCGGTATTCCAGCGGTTACTTCTTCCATAAGACGTTGAAATATGCCAGGAGCACTGGCAATACCGAATGGCAATCGTTGAAACTGGAACAAACCAAATGGCGTATTAATGACTAGAAGTTCTTTTGTTGCGTCAGACAATTCTACTTGCAAGTACGCTTCACTAAGATCAATTTTTGTGAAAAATTGTCCTCCTTGAAGTTTATAAAAAAGTTCCTCAACTCTAGGAATTGGATACCTGTCAATCTCAATTTGCGAGTTCACACCAATTCTGAAATCTGCACAAATACGTAATTTTCCATTTGGCTTTGACACTACAACTATAGGAGCGGCCCAGACGCTGCTTCTGATAGCTTTCAAAACTCCAATATTTACCAACCGATCAATTTCGATGCGAACGTCTTCTCTTTTCGCAAACGGCAGGTTGTATGGTTTAAAGAATTTAGGCTTAGCATCTGACTTCAATCTGATTTCAGCTTTGAACAACGTACAACGCCCCAATTTCGAAGAAAAAATGTTAGCATGTTGACATCTGAGTTCATGTAGAGATGCGGTTAAACTTTGTTGACTGTCACAAGGATTATTTGCATAACATTCAATAACAGGTAACTGCAGTTTGAAATTTAATACTGTAAACAAATCCAATCCCAGTATGTTAGTAACATATTCATCGTTAACTACAAGTATCTCAAGGCTTCGAGTAATATTTCCATACTTGACATTCACTCTGAGAGAACCCTTAAGAAAAATAACAGCTCCTCCATACGCTCTCAGAACTTTATTCGTAGGCCCACAACTAGGTCTACCCAGTTGTTTATATGCCGCCAAACCAATTAAGGAACATGTTGCACCAGTATCTACTTGAAATGTTAAAATTTCGTTATTTATATTGAGGTCAACGAAAATTTTAGATGAACTAAGTTGCGAATCAACTGATTTAACTTCCGTTGTTTCATTCGCATTAATTGACTCAAATGAAACATCACTCATAAAATATACATCTCTTGCTCTATTTTGTTCCTGTCTTCGAACCTTAAAATTAGAATTCTGCTGAATACCTGTCACTGCTGATTGACAAACTGCAGCAATATGACCTTGCTTTGTACATAACCGACACTTTGTTTTGTTCTTGTAATGATAACATTGATTTCTTTGATGTGCTTTCCCACAAGCTGGACACGATTGTCCTCCCTTCACTGAATTTCGGGACTTATTATTACTTCGATTCTGTTTAACTTTCTTACTTGAACTGTGATTAACTTCATTAACTGTTTGACTGATTTCTTCACCTCTAATTTCGTTACAAGTTTTAACCGTTGCTTCATATATTGCTGCTATCTGCAGTACTTCCTCTAGCGATGGGTTTGTTTTCTGCAACGCGGCACTACAGACTTTATCGTGTGGTGTGTGTATCACAACCATATCTCGTATACAATTATCTATAAACGATTGCTGGCAAGTTTCACTAGTACATAGGAACATGCACTCTTTAGCCGCACCACGCAGTTCTGCCACCCACTCAGCATATGATTGACTTGCTTTCATTCGTATTAAATGAAATTTAAAACGTGCTGCTAATATATGCTGTTTTTCCGCAAAATGATTATCCAATTTTGCTAGTAGTTCACCAAAAGACTTATTCTCTATATTATTGTCACATAACTTTTGAATAAGTTCAAATGTCTCTGTACCTATCCACGAAAGGAAACATGCGCGTTTTAATACATCGTCTTTCACTTGATGTGCCACAAAATGTTGATGCATCTGCTGAATATATATCGACCACTTTTCAACATTTTTCTTAAACCGTCGAAAGGTTGGAGTTGAATTAGCGGATTTTTTCCCGTTAATCACGCTTCTCAATACTTCTTCATTTTTGTTTAATATTTTCTCAAAAAATTCTTGATTTGCTAATGAGAACTCTCTTAGAACTGTCGCGAGTGCCTGAGCATCCATTTCCTCGTCGCCAACTGTTAATTTGTGTTTTTACAATTTAACTTTATTCTTATCGGAAGTCAAAAGTTAATCTATTTCTATATTTTTACAAAATGTTAAATACAGTTAATCAAAATCAATAGCCTACTATTCAATTATGATTATACATTTCCAACAGTACTAATGCTGAGTTGTGCTTAGGGTCGTTGTCTTGGTAAAAGCGAAAATCATCTGCAATCTGCAATTTCGTTGCACTTTGAATCAAATTTTCTTGAAGAAGCTTTAAGTAAATATTTTTATTCATAGATTCTTCGATGGGCACCAAATTTCCTACTCCATTTGATGACATACATGCCCAAACCATAACATTACCACCTCCGTGTTTTACGGTAGCACGTAAATTTTGTGGTTTGAGCTCAGAATTGACTTCGCGCCATACATAAGATCTTCCATCTGATCCAAATAAGTTTATTTTGACTTCGTCTGCAAAAAGTACATTTCGCCAAAATGCTGGACTCTTATTTAAATGCTCTCGTGCAAACTGCAACCTTTTAATTCTATTTTTTGCACTTACGAAAGGTTTCTTTACAGCTTCCATTGAAATTTGATTCTCTCAATATTCTGCGGACGATTTCAGGATGACAAATTTTTCCAAAATCTATTTTGGCCATGTCTGTCAACTTTGGAGCGCTAGTTGTTGCATTTTTTTGAATTTGGTTTACCAAATACCTCGATTCTTTTTCTGTAAAAATTTTATTGGGAGCCTTTCGTCCCTTATTTTTTAAACACTTCAATTTATTGAAAGATCTTTAAATTCTGCTGATAAATTAATTTAATTTGATTATTTAATAAATTTTTTTTTTAAATTTTAAATATTTAAAGAAACTATTTTAAATTAATATATTAACATATAGAGATATATATGTAGAGTGTATACACTCTATCAATGCTTATAATTTGCATGATATTATTAGTTGGTGAATTTTGGTGACGGCGGAGCATTCTTTTAAATCTAAGTGTAACATTAGCCTAGTTTTGATAACTGAATCTTCGGCTGTGAAAACTACAATTCTAAAATTAACATAAATTCATATAAAAATATGTAGCTATATTTATGTTTGAGATATCCGCCAGCCTTCAAAGATGTTTAACTTCCACAGCGAAAGGTTTCAGTTTTGTTATGTCTGGAATATTTGATATGATTCCAAGCTTCTCAATTTTCATACTGAAAAGTCGTAGTCTTGCTCAACCTGGGATATCGATCAGGATCCTTGGCTCCTCATTTTCTATATTGGAGATATCTCTTGCTAGGCCTGAGAAGTCTGCCAGGAAACTAAACTCTAAAGTTCTATAGCGAAGAGTGTTAGTCTTAATAAAACTGAAATATCCGTTAAGATTTTAAGTTTCTTAACTTCAGTTGTCGAATATTTTACTCTCAATAAGTCTGGTATATGTGACATAATTCCAAGTTTATCAACTTTCATAGTGGAAAGTTTTGATCTTGCCAGACCTAAGCATTTGTACTGAAATGATAATAAACCACAAAAGTCTAGCGATTCTGAGAAATGTTAAGAGAAATTCAATGGTTTTTATTGGACCATTATCAGCGTGTATATAATTGTGAACATCTATGATATTAGCAAAAAATGGCATTTAAAGTGAATTTTACATAAATTGAACAAAAAAATAAATACACATTTATTATTGCTATAAATTTTGATATGGAGAGTAGGGATATGGAAACTCTCGGTACATTACAATTATTCGGATATCCCTAACATCCAATTTTATTTACTTATATATTTTATGCTTTTGCTTGAATTCTCTATTTAAATTCAGAGCTGAACCTTATGTCTGGATTCCATACATCCAAATCAACTTTACCATTGACTTGTATGAGTAAATCATTAGTACGTTTTTAATAGCTGACTTTGATACACCTATAACCAGTTCATATTCCAGACTTTTTAACCAAGACAAGTTTTCCCTTCCTTGATATATGCTTTTCCCACATCAAGCGGAGGGCAATATGTATTTCTAGATATTTCCATATTGATAGAATGAAGTATTATATTTGTTCAATATAATGGGAGGGTAAATTATACTTTTAATTGTTAATGTACTGTCCAACGAATTGGATTCATCAACTTTAATAAGCTTTTACTTTATCCATTCCTACAATTCCAAAAGATTCGCTTATAGATGATATGAGGTAATTCTCACAATATGTTGTGTTGCCATAACTATGATATAATCTGTGAAAGGAGTAGTGCCTTGCTGTCGCCAGTGGGTTTTTCCAAGTGCCAAGTGAGTTGGTCACTTCGCCATTACACCAAAGATGCGAATATTCTCTACCACGGTTCTTACACCAGTAGGAACAGAATCAAACATCTTTCTAATCAGAGTATTTTCTTCCATTAGAAAGACATAATGAAGTCAACAGAATCACTAAATTTGTATGCATTTAACTATATTAATGTCGCGGTATAGCTCGTTCAGCTTATCATTTCATCTAATTCGATACTCATTGAAATAGTTAGGGTTAGTTAGAGTTAGTTTTGTATGATTGTTTATTACTGGTCTTAGTTTTGTTAAATGCAAACATATAATTTTCTCTAATAATAATAACTCAAAATAATTCTAAACTAAATTGACATTCTTAAAAACCTATTTCTAACATTATTAGATTTAATATTCATAGACTTCATATTCTGTATTCACAACATTGTCATCATCCTAAATTTATTCGCCCCGAACAAGTATCACCATATCAACACACCAATCATTCTCAGATGAAACTACTTCTATATTCTGGACATGCGTTCGCAAGCCTACAGCAACTACCATCCCTTCAGCCTTCTCAAGTGATCGTCAAAATCATTGTGCAAGACATCAAGGTACCCCAAGCACTTCTTCCAGTGTAGTCCTTTTAAAATACGTTCAATGAGACACCTAAACGTGGCAGACCTACATGCCTCCCTCTCTTTACGTTCCCCCACCAGTTTCTTCGTATCGAAGGTATCGCCGAACCATTTATGGTTCCTTATCTTTCGACTTCTACTTCTTCTGTTTCTTCTCTTTTCCAGGTTTTATATTATATTTATTTTAATATATGTACATATCTATATATGTTTATATAGAATTTACATACAATTACTATTTTTTGCTATAAAAATAAATTCCAGAAAAAAAATATAGAAAGCCCCACTTACCCCTGCTGATGAAAACCACTAAATCCAACGCTATGTCTTGACATTTCTGCTTATAAATTTTTAATTACATCAACCTTTGCGGCAGCCACTGAGGTTGCCACCAATTTTTTTATGCTTTCATATGTAAACCATAAGAAGTTGCTCATATGAAATCGTATGATCTACAAAGCTCGTATACATTAGAATTTTGAAAGAATTTTGAGTCAAAAGTAAGAACGCGCTCATTTATTGCGCAAAAAAGCTCTTCATAGCACAAAACCAGTTTTGTGCTCAAATCGTCATTCTTTAACCTTTTTTTCTTATTGTGAATACTAAAGCAACAACGATTCGTTTACATGTTTTCCACTCAACAATCTGGAACTCAAATCTCCTCATAATCGTTTGTTTACCACACGTGCGATTAGATTAAAAAAACAATTGAGGTTGAGTGAGTGAGTTTCAGGTGAACAAGCAATTAAATTCAGTAGCGGAGCCGCAGTTTAAAAGATCGCTTCGTGTTTTGTGGTGTGGTGAATGTGTCAACTTTTTTAAATTCAATTTTATTGCAATTAAAAAATAAATAATGAAAGATATTTGCAAAATAATTCTCATTTTAATTGTGTGCAGGAAATTATCGGTAAGTACTTAATTACTTGTAAATTAAATGCGTAGCCACTTACATTGGAGCTCTATATTCTCGTTCACAGCTTTGCAATGGGGCCGGTAAATCCTATTACACAGCCGGCGTAGTAGAGTTTTTACCGACTATTGCCGGCATGTCGTCTGCTGATATCGTCAATGAGCATTTGGAGGCATACGTACGCATTATTAAATCAGCGGAAGCCAACGATACAGATATCATTGTATTTCCTGAGGGCACATTGAATAATGCACTTCAAACGACTTATGTGCCCGCAGCACATGAGAAGGTTGTGCCATGTCTGAACGTGACGGGGATGGTCTATGCGGATTTTCTAATGCAATTGTCTTGTGCTGCACGTACGGCTCGAAAATATTTAGTAATTAATTTAACGGAAAAGGAGAATTGCACTGCGGTTGCACAGGATACACGTCCATGTGCTGCCAATGGCTTGAATGTCTATAATACGAATGTTGTGTTCGATCGGGAGGGATGTGTAATTTCACGCTATCGTAAAGTACACATCTATGTAGAGCAGAAAAACACAACACTTGAGCCGGAGTATGGCATATTCGAAACGGATTTTGGTGTACGATTTGGGCATTTTATATGTTTTGACATTCTGTTTTACACTCCAGCAGAGGAGCTAGTCATTCGTTATGGTATTAAGGACATTATATTTACTAGTATGTTCTATTCGGAATTGCCATTTCTGACAGGTGAGTTCGTTAGTTGCACTTACACTCTTTGATAGTTGAATTCATTATAGCATTTGTATTGGATACGGAAAAAGCATAGGTTGTGGAGCAGTTCGAAGAGTAGTTTAAGTGTTTAAGATTTTTTTTTAACTCAAAATAAGCAATTTAAAAAATGCTCGCAGTTGTCTTGCAAAACTTACAAAATAATAATCCAGCAAAAATTTATTTATATTAATTAGTAGATAAATATTTTAATAATAGAATTTTTTTATAATAAATATTTATAGCTTCTTTTGTGTAAATGCTTGGAAATGTTGCTTAAGAGCTTACAAATGCTCCTAAGCGGCAATTTTTTTCCTACTTAGCCATATTGTTAGTACGAATAATACGAATAATCGTACTAATACTATTGTATTTTAGTTATAAAGTATGGAATTGATATTATTGGTATTATATTATTATATTATATTATTATTATTGGTCTCCCAACATAATATTACCAATATTATAAGTTTTATATATTATTATATATATATATTATATATATATAATAATATATATATATTATTATATATTAGTTAGGATGTTAGGAGGTTTGCATTACTATCTAAATTATAAGAGATTTATTACTTAAATACAATTGTGATTCCAAATATTTTTTAAATGTCACCAATATTAAGACGTCACCAATATTATTATTATTATTATGTAGGGGGAATTGGAATTTCTTTCAATCTAGAGACCTATTTTAATCCTCTCATGGACTAAGCGAATTTCTTCAAGTCGAACTTGCTTTGTAAATTGTAGTAATGCATATTACTACTTTATTTAGTATGAAATACCCATGTAGGTATTTCTTTTGCCATGCATAAGCGAAGAGCAAACACCCAGTGCGTGTTTTGGGATCTCATTGTCTTCGCTACAAAACTTACATGTTCCATTAAAGTAACGTCCCAGCTTTGTAAGGCATTAGTTTAATCTACAGTGCACGGTTAGAATTTGTGTAATGATTTTTAAATTATTTTAACTTAGTTGCATACAATACTTAAATCGTTTTAAGTTGAAATCAATTATACTAGAATCAATATAAATCATGCGAAGCTAAATTGTGTGTTTATTCTAGATTACCTTAGTTTGTTCTTTCTTTCTTCTCATTCCTTGTAAATGAGTTAGAATAAATTATATTCTCTCAAGCTACTACATAGTTTCGGGTCTACAAGAAGAGAAGCTGTCCTTCTAGCAAACCTGGAATAGATCCATAAGATATAACATATATCTAATTGTTTTGGTCAAGAATATTCACTGAGCCACCCCAACTTAATAGGTAAGAACAAATTTATTGATAATAATAATAAAATTAGTTATATCTTACGTAAAATACCAAGAATTTGTCGAAAACTTGAAGACCAAATCGTCAGAGTGTCAGATATCTTATCTTTCAGTTTTTACCTTATTTAAACTATATTTGTAAACTATATTATGAAAATTTTTATTAATGCATTATCACTCCAGACACGCAACCAGGGGTGTGCACTTAAATAACCATGCACTCCCCCAAAATGAATTATAGAACTATATTCAAATGTATGCATATTCATAATTTAGGTATTACGACTGTACCTAGACTTTTAAGTACTAAGCTTCTTTATCTCAACTCTCTCACTGGTTGAAATATTCTCAATTTATTCTTAAAAGTCTCACAATAAGATAAAAATATGTTTTTAATTATCTCAAACCTACTCGAATTATATATCTGTTTACAGGTGTGTGTGTGGACCAACTAATTCAACGCTTACACTCTGTTTTTGGGAACACATATAATATAAAGAATAAACTTATAATTTCTTTCATATATGAGCATAAGTATCAGAAACCTATGAATTAGTTATCGTATTATATTAATCTTCTCTAAGACTATCTGCTTTCCTATCTGCCGTAATTCATTTTTTTAAAGAATCCATTAGGAACACCCATCTTAACCTTAAAGTATATGTATTCTCTACTAATTTCTACAGCTGTTCAACTACAACAATCCTGGGCATGGGGTAATGATGTTAACGTACTAGCTGCAGGGGCTAGTTTACCAGTCGCTGGTGTAACTGGGACTGGTATATATGCTGGAGTTCAAGGTGATCTAGTATCAGTAATAGTTGGAGGTGTTGGTATCAGAAAACTTTATGTCTCACAGGTGCCAATTATATCAAATAAAACTTTAACGAATGATTATGAGTATAAACAAAAAACTGAAACTTCTATGCCGATTGTAGCGAGCGATGAATTAACCCTATTAAAGGATCCACAAATAGAAAATTTCACATCTCTGCTTTTGGATTTTACTACCCAGCAAAATATAACACAAACCTTATGTAATAATGACTTTTGTTGTCGTTTTGATATCGCAACCCAATCGATTGACACACCTGCCGAAACTGTTTACTATAAATATCGTATAGGTGCGTTCAAAGGACAGCGCACCTATCAGAAAAATGAATGGTCGGACATACAAATTTGCGCACTTTATGCTTGTAAAAATGAGAGTGTTGCCAGCTGTGCGGAAATTTTCAACAGCACTGCAGTAGTAAAGCCCAATATCGCTTTCAAATCCCTTCAAATTGTGGGGGATTTCATGAAGGCCGATAAACTTCTTATCATGCCAAATACACTCGATGGCAGTTTGCTCTCGTTAAGCGCAGAAACACTGGGTTGGCATGTCATAGATCAGCGGTAAGTGAATGTGTAATGTTTTGTTGCTTCAAATGTTATGGAAAATTTTAAATAAAATTTTCCATTTTCCATTTAACATTTTTGTTTTCTTTTTTGGCTTTTCCCAGAGAACACTACACCGCACACATGAACTTAACTCGGCCATATTGTGACAGCTTGTTGACATTTGGAATTTATGCTAATTATTATGACAGATCAGCGACAACACGTACTGCCAGCTACAGCAACACCACGCCCACTGTACTCCTCTGCACTCTTGCACTGGTACTACTTGTGTGGCGTTTTTAGATGGAAATGCATTGTTTTGCCTCCGACTCAGCTAAAATATTCATGTTTTAATTTCTGTGCTGTGTGCGAGCAGTTATTTTTATAGCTGCAATTCGAGATACAAGATACACAAATATATTCAGTAGCAATTACATACAGTATGAGTTTGTTTATACTGAAATAAAAACTTTTTGTTTCATTGTTGCAAGTATCGTAAATTGTCAACAAATGTATTTACACCTCTTAAATAAAATTTAATTTTTCTCGAGAAATACATAGATTTTAAGTTCTCATGTTTATCTAGTATCTATTTTATAAAATATTGTCGTTCCAATATATTCAACTATCCATTAGCGGAGTATAGGAGCAATAATATAAGCAAAGGTTCAAATCATCAAGAGCATACTTCAACTAGGATTTAAATAACAAAACCACATATATACATAAATCATTCAAGAATCTATCTAACAAAACAATCTACATAATAAAATGGACGAAGATATAAAGATACAACTGATGGTGAAGGTAGGATCGCTTAGTTTTACTCAAAACTGCGAAACTCATAAGTATATCAAACAATGAAAAGTACTATAAAATAGGTTACACCTGGTACTCTTGTAAAAAAACAGCAGTGATATTAGCTACGTCTTAGCAAAGAAGGTAGGTAGGTGAAATGGAAGGAGGACTTAATCCTCGTAAACTCTACCAAAGAATAATTTGGGTTTTCTTTTCTGATAACAGTACGGAAAACCACTGAAAGTAATTGTCATATCATTCATCATATCATCGTATGGTGACATACTTGTCGGTCACTTGAAACTTTATTTATAACAGGCCTAAGTAAAATTTCTTCTTTTTGTATAATAAAATGTAAATAGTATCTCTTTCGTGTTTGTCAAAGTCCAACTGGACAGAGGAGAGTAAATGAAACTACTAATTACTTTATTTTTAGTAGGTGAAAACTATCAAAAGGTACAGTATGAGTTTTTAACCCACTTACCTTCTGTTCAAAAAGTATTTGGATTTTGTAAATAAAACACACAAATTTAAATTTTATTCCAAATTTATTTTTTCTCCTTCAAAATATGCTCCTTCTGTAGCGATACACATATGCCAACACTTAACCCAATCTTCCATACACTTTTCGTAGGCCCGTGCAGGTATGATTTTAGTTCCTTCAGCGAATTCTCTTTTACCGATTCAATCGATTCAAATCGCTTACCACAAAGGGGCAATTTGAGTTTCGGGTACAGGAAAAAGTCGCACGGCGCCAGATCTGGTGAATATGGTGCCTGAGCGATGACAGTGGTGCCGTGTTTGGTCAAAAATTCGCGTACAACAAGAGCCGTGTGCGATGGATCAGTGTCTTGGTGAAGAATCCAATTGTTGACTTTCCACAAATCAGGTCTTTTATTACGGATGGATTCACGCAAATGCATTCGATATTCTTTTTGCAAAAAATTAAGGTCTTTCGGTACAAGTCGAGCTGCAATGCGTCTCATGCCCAATATATCATGTAGAATGTTGTGAATGGATCCATTTGAAATGTTCAAGTCTCGAGCAATCTCCCTTTCAGTCATACGGTGATCTTCCAACACAATTTTTTTGTTTTTTGCCACGTTTTCTTCAGTATTTGATATTGATGGACGTCCAGAATGAAGCAAATCTTCGATCGCTTCACGACCCTCTTTGAATGATTTATACCACTCGTATGCCTGTGTTCGAGACATAGAAGAGTTTCCGTAAGCTTTCTGCACCATTTTTAATGCTTCAACATATGAAATTTCGTTAAAAATACAAAATTTCAAACAAACTCGTTGTTCAACTGAATTTTCCATAGTAAAAATCACCAAATGCACTTGAGGTAGTCTCACATTAACAGCTGTTGTAAACAAACTAATTGACAGATGGCGCTCAAATTTGTACCATATATCAAGAAAGGGTGTACCAACATAACATTTTTTGAAAAAAGTCTATTACTTAGGGAGTAGTTAATAAAGTCCGCAGAAGCATAAGATAAATAACCTTTCAAGTATGCATAGTAAACTGATTTCAGCAATTGGACCGTGAAGGACCGAAGTTGGGATCATAAGCTACCATATATAATAATTATAAGACAAACAGCTATATGTTGGTTAAGAAAATTACTGATTCTGTGTAGATATTTGGACCTGAAGTCAATATGTCACTGGAAGGAAACACAAAGATGTTTAAAATAAAAATAAATGTTAATAAATCTTCATTTGTAACTTCAACTGGTATCGTTAAGGGTCGATGGGTGTGTCTGTGGATTAGGGTCAGGCAAATTAATTTACTATGTCCTATTAAAATAATTTAACTAATAGAATATAAAATTTAATATATTAAAATAAAAATACTTAAACTTTTCCTTTAAGATATACAACTATAATATATATACTTATAGATACAAAACCCATACACAGCGATTTAAGTTGTTATTAATCTCCATTGCTCCGAGTAGATTCTTCAATCCATTCCATTCAGTTCGTTTTAGTCAAAGCAAACTTTTTAAAATTTTAATGTTAAAAACAAATTTAATTAAAAAATAAAACTCAGTGGGAAAAAATGCAAACCACGATTGTTGGGTTGTTTAATGTTGAGCGAAGTGGAAATATGCAAAAATTTAAATTAAAGGTTAAGGCAAAAATAATTTTTTGATGAGATTGATTTTGAGGTCTTCACCATGTCGGTAATTAAATTATGCTTGTAAGTCGTTACGTGCTTAAGTGTAAATACACAAACACTACCACGTAAACATTGAAGTTTGCATTGTGCTGCTCTGCGAAAAATGAAAGGATCCACACATATATAGGTATCCTGGGTCCTTGAAAAGAGGTGAGCGATTTATATTGCAAAATTAGTGATACGTGCAAGGGTAATTCCTTTAATTGGGTTGCAATATTAATGGCATTAAATGTGAAACCTTGTTACAGCATAAATTATTTCATGGCGTTAATATGTAAATCCTAAAAAAAAGTATATGCACTTCTTAAGACAAGTATGGAAAAAGTTAGCGAATTATAAAATACTTCATATAGATACTTATTGCACAAATTATTATAGTTTATACTGATCAAACATTTTTCAACTTTTTTTTCAAATATCTTCTTAAATTCAGTTCCAATACTTATTTTATAAGAGCACTATTAGTAATAATAAGTCGTTAGCATTCATATGACAACTTCATCTATCCGAATTCACAAAAAAATTCTACATATTTATGTGTTGGACAAGATAATTTCTTTTTCTATTGTATATGACCGAAAAGAGTACTGCTATGCTCTATCCCGCTGTTCAAGAATTGTAATAGGTAGAACACGTCATCATACTCTATTAAATTTTGGGTATCCCTCTCTTTATTACCTACATTTGCTCTGATTAAGTTCGGTTTTCTTATAACTGCAGTCTTATAAAGCATTTTTGTTAACATAGTAGGCATTTACACTGACAGTTCTAAAATAAATATACGGCAGTGATATATTTTCCTATAAATTGCATATTGGGGTCATTTCGCTTCGATTACTTAGCCATAGCAATGGTCTTTCAATCAGATGTAATGGTTATTCGCTATGTAGCAAACATAGGCAACATGATGCTCGATGTATATATCGTAAACTTTTTTGACTGTAAAGGTGCCATCAATTTTCTAGTAATTTCAATTACGCTTTAGCTAGTTCCCTAACAGTTCTAGATTGCCGAACTTCTCCTAATAAACTAGCTAGGCATGCCAATATCCAATATATATGCGGACATGAGGACAAGGGAACATCTCGAGATATTTGGAGCATGTGAACTTACCAGCGTATACATTCTGCCTCCTGATATTCATTACTCGGATATTGATATCCTACCTGTAACAGATGAGCTAGGAATTTTACAAAAAGCATGACTGAAATACTATGACACATGAAAATTCCTGTCAGATCTCAAGGTTAACTTGGTTCAAATGAGACAATAATTGTACCAGTTAACTGTTTTAACAAAAGCGAGGCTTGTCTAGCACTGAGGTATTGATGCTAACAGATCAGTGTGTATTGAGAAGACATGCTGTGAGACTGAATCTACTCTATAATTACTTTTATCGGGGTTGTAGTTCTGCCATTGAGAAGAAAACTTTACATCAACTCATGTGTGAGAGTTCATCATTGTTTAGGAGAATTTCCGTATAAATTTATGAATAGACATTAAACCGTGTAGATTTCAATTCAATGAGGTTCTAGATATATTATTGTAGGGTCTTAGTAGTGTGTATCCAATCCAACTTCACTTTCTTCCATATATTTTTTTTTTAATATTTACTCTTCGTTGCGAAAATTCCAGAACTTTTATTTTTTCAGGCTAGTCAATTTTGCAACGAGTGCATGATTTATCACCTAGCTATTTATTATACTATCTTTTAATATGAACCAAATATATATTTAATTAATTTTGAAACTAACATATAGAGTCAAAATAATCATTGTTTTATCTTTAATGCAAGTGCATGGACGAATTAAGAAAGGAAAAAATTTGAGAATATTGAATTTTAATATATATACGATAACTAATAATGATCGAGTAACGAACTCACTTTAAAAAACAGTTCTGAGCATATTTAAATGATTAAGAATGATCAAATACTTTATATTGCTAACTTCAATCAACAGTAACGCTGTGAAGTTCTAACTTCACAATCGATCTATTAAAGCTTCATTGTCAAATTGAGTTTATTTGTTGTTACTTTGCACTGATACTATTATTTATTACTCGGTCTCTGTAACTCATACTCAAAATCGAGAACACCTTGGGTAGGTCACTTCGCAGTACTATTATATATTTACTCGGTTACTGTTACTCGGTACTCAAAATCGTAAATGCCCTTCGCCACTTTGCATTGTTACTTTTATATAATACTCGGTTTCTGTAACTCATTATTTAAAATCGTGAATATTCTTCATCACTTTGCAGTGGTAGTATTATAGGTTACTCGGTTTCTGTTACTCGGTTTCCGTTACTCGATACTCAAAATCGTAAATGCCCTTCGTCACTTTGCATTGATACTTATATATTACTCGGTTTCTGTAACTCATTATTTAAAATCGTGAACACTCTTTATCACTTTGCAGTGGTAGTATTATAGGTTACTCGGTTTCCGTTACTCCATACTCAAAATCGT